GGCCTTGGGTAATTCTTATCTCATGAATGGATATTGCCTGGAGAAAGACTGGGAAGTATGGAACTTGAGGCAAGACTTTTCTGACACAAGTACAAGATGACTCCGGTTTCTTCCAGTTTGTATTTCTGTCTGCTAAAAGGACTACAAACAAACCTCCATCACAGAGTTTCTCTAAGCCATCAATGCTCAGAAGTTGGTGGCCTGAAATAAGTAATGACACACAGTAAGTGCCATAAGTAACATGAATTGATTCTTCTGGAACTAGAGTCACTGATGGTTGTTAGCCACCGCGTGGATGCTGGGAACCCAACCCTGGTCCTCTGCAAGAACAAATGCTTTAACCTCCAAATCTCCTCTCCAGTTCCCAAACTTGACCTTTAAACTAATATAGTTTGAGAGGGTTTTTTTTTCTTCCTCAATTTAGAAAGGTTTGTTTTGGTGTCCTGTCCCCCCCCCCCCCGACTAGTAGGACAGGGCTTGATCCTCAAGGAGAGGCTGCAAGTGCATCTTAAAGATGATGCAGTGTGTGTGGTCATGGGCCAGTTCAGAGTCATTCAGGGGAACACCCACCATCCCTGTGTAGTCGATATCAGGAGAGCTAAGAACCCTAAATGAGCTTCTGCAGAATCCCTACATACAAACCTTGATCATCTATTGAGCCGATGCACCACCCACCGCCCAGACCCGGAAAGGGGAGAGCAATGTGGACCCTGGCTGATGGACCCCAGGTTCAGTAGCTTCCATCCCAGACGTCCCAGAGAACCAGGAACGCCAGAAAGCCAGGCTCTCAGAAACCCCAACTCCATGATGTTCATTTCAACAGTGGGGAAACTGAAACCCTGAGAGGCCATCCCGGCTTACACTTACAGGCAGGAATGAAGCTGGAACTTCTGGTTCAGATTGGGAATCCTGCCATGACACTGGGCAACCTTGGCATGTGCTGAGAACGGTAGCAATGTCAAGTTCAGGGAGGCCATCATGACTAAGGACTCACAACCTAGCAGTACCCTTTGCTCCTGATGAACTTGGGTTCTAACTCTGCTTTTTACCCATCAACTGCAGAGTCTAGTCTCCGGATCACTCTAGGCTACAAGCACAAGTAATGACACCATTATTGAGCATGGGGTCAGAGACTCTGTTAGATTTTTTTTTCGTGCTTTATCTCATTTAATCCTCAAACAGCTCTATGATCTGGAAACCAAAATTTTTCCTCTCCCATTTTCTACTTGAGAAGCCAGGAGGCTTAGGAAAGCTCGGCCACTTGGCAAAGGCCGACTGTTTAACTAGAGAACTGTGGAGAGAGAGGCATGCACCAGACAGGGTCTCTGTGTTTGTGACCACTGAGCAGTCTCAAAATAGACACTTACTAAGCAGTGTTTTAACGTTGAAGGTGCCAAACAGGAGGCGTTTAGGAGGGGATGGGGAGGCTCTGTCAACTCACTAAATGGGACCACCAGAGAGATTAGGGGCCCCAGTGACACAATGAGAATACTCATGGAGGACATCTTGTGCCAATTTATGCTAATATGCCAACTCTGTGAGTCCGTCTAGAAGCCTAATTTTCTCCAGACACTGGCTTGCTTGGGAGGGGGTTGGAGGTGGAGGGGAAATAGTCTATATTCATCAACCCCTTTCTAGAGATCTTTGGCTTCCTCTGGGACTGCAGATCCACACATAGCCACCAGAGGGCGAGCCAGCTCTGTGGCCAAGAAGTACCCGGAGCTCGGCCAACTGTCTAGGCAGAGATGGGCCTACATGACCAGTTCCCAATTACACTGTGCCTTCAGTCTACTTCTTGGGATCTCCAAACATTTCACTGGAAAAAAAAAAACATCACGGGGTCTGCTTCTAGTGGGTCAGCCCGTATCAAAAATACCACGATGACCTCGAAACAGCAATGAGGCCAGCTTGCCTTGGGAGCTGGAGACTTTATGAAGCCTCATGAGTGCTGCATTCTCTATGTACAAATGAGTAAAGGAGGCGTAAGGGAGAGAGTGAATGGGCAGGAGTACTTAGAGAAAGCGGGTGCTCAAATCCAGAGAGAGTTGTCAGAGAGTGCAAGGAGAGGGGACTCCAAATGTAAATATCTGGAGAAACAAGAGGTGGGAATAGCCCACAGGGAAATCCAAATGCACAGTAGGATTCTGGGAAACCGCTACTAGCCACCCGCCCACCCACCAGCCAGCGGTCCAACAGCCTTGCTCAGCACCTGTTGGACACACTGTACGAGAAGCATTTCCTGCCCTCAAAACGCTGGCAATCTAGAGGAAGGAGTGGTGAGTCAACAGATAACCATGGGAAACCCGAACACCTGTACACGGCGGTGGCTTAGAGAGCTTGTGGCTGTCTAGGGAATCCCAACTCGGGCTGATGGAGAGGCCTGGAGCTAAGGACCCTCTTCCCCATACAGCTCATCCCAGGATGGGGCTCCCGTCCAAGCTTTGGTTGCCTGCCTGCGCCGGGGGCCAGTGTCCCTCCCCTCCCACCCCTCTCAGAAAAGCTGAGGCCCAGGGAGTCGATGAAGCACACCTGAGTCAGCCCGCCGCCCACCCGCCCCTCAGCGTCTGTCTCCGCATCTTGTGATATTTCGCTCCCCGGGAGCCAGCCCCATTGCGCTCCGGAGGCAGCTCGGCAAACAAACCCAGCGACAGATTGTGCCGCGGCTCATTCCGGGGAAGGACGCCAAATCCCACCCTGCTACCCCCAACACTCCCTCCCTGCCGCCCCCTCCAGCACTAACTACCCCCCCGCGCGTGCGCGTTCCAGGCGCGGGCCCTGAACAAGGTAGAATCCAGGGAAAATCAGGGCTCTATTCCAGAGACAGGAAACCAAAATATGCCCCTTTCTGTTTCTACCTGACCTGGAAAAGAGAAAAGCAGGGAAGAAAATTCAGGGGCTGCCAAACTGAGAGCCCCGGAAGCAGCGAAAGATAGAACCAGCAGGGGGCACTCCAGCGTGAGGTGCAAGAGCCTGGGAGCAGCCGCCACCATCAGCACCACCCCGCCAAGAAACAAGATGAAAGGGGGAAGGGAGTGGAGACAAAGAAGAGGCGAGGAAACACATGCAAAGACGTGGAGAGGCCAGGAGGCTGGGACTCATACACACCCCCACCCCCCCCCCCCCCCCCCCCCGGGGGGGGGGGGTAGGGAAGAGAGAGAGCCAAAGAAGACAGAAGGTATACTCATCTTTGGGGAGGAAAAAGACAGAAAGTAAAAGGCGGCGCACAAGAGACTAGAGATGGGGATCATAAAATATGAATAAGAGTTGGGGGAGAAAATGAGAGAAGTCGAGTGAGTACGAGAGAAGAATGACAGATTATAAAAAGCAGCGTGGAGTGAATGAGAAGAATGAGACTAACATTTATAAAGCGCCGACTGTATGCCGTGCACAGCGATGGACCCAGGCACCGGCATAAAGAGGAGTCAGTGCCTAGACTAAGGGTTCCTCAGCTCCACTCGCAGGAGTGGCTACCTAATCCTTCCACGCTGTCGCAGGCAGAGTCCGACTGCGTCCAGATGGCCCGGGCACCCTCCGCCGCACGCACCACTGCAACAATCCCAACCCCGCCCGCGCCACTTGATGACGGTCCCCGAAGCGGCTCCCCGAAGTATCCTTCGCACAGTAGTTATCAAAAGCCGAATACTAGGCACCTTGGACTGACCAAGACTAAGGCAAAAGGTGTTGAGGCTTTTAAAATAAGGCGCTGAGGTCAGGGATTGGCTGATACCGCCAGGATAAAGGCGTCTAGGGCCCCTCTGTAAGAGGGTTAGAAGTTTCTGTGAACCAGCAGCGGCTACCACTTTCGGGTCCTCTTCTGCCCTCTGGCGAGGGATAAGAAATCATACCCTTTGGGACATATCACGTAAATACACACACGCGCGCGCGCACACACACACACACACACACAAATCTGCACGCACGCCCAAACTTACACCCATTTGTAAAAGCTTTAAGGTACATACACACCCGAACATTTATTCCCTTCGCCTCCCATCCCAAAGTCGCGCGCGCAAAACTTTACACAGCCCTCGCGTGGCCCACCAGCGCAGAAACCAGCGAGCACACACTCGTACTCCCGCCCTGGACCCCTGAAAAGAATAAAAGGCCAGCACTCAGCTACACCTGTCCAAGCGTCTGCGCGCGCGGGCACGCGCACATACACTTGCTCCCACAAAGTCCTATACACACTGGTCCCATAGCTATACAAGCCGCCCTGAGAGTCTGGGAACCAAAGAGAACGTGAAATCTTTAAGGGAGTCTTTAAGGGACGCAAACGATCGCGAAGGAGAGGGCAGGAGGAGGGGCGCTGAGTGAGAAACTACTCTGAAACTGCGTGTCTTCTGGGAAAGTTGGGAGAGGAAACCCTCACCCAGAACTAGTCGGGGGATGGGGAGGGGACTTAACACTACTGCGTGCGCGCGCACACACACACACACACACACACAAACACACACACACATCAAGAAGGGATTTCTCTAAAGGCATGGCGCCACGGTGGCTACGGGAACACAGCCTTCCCGATCTCCCAAGGTTGGGAGGGGGCCCGAGAATGAGTGGGCTAGATGGAGAACTACTCCCGCCTCCTAGTAGCCAACAAAGGGTTAAACCGGCAGGCCGGGAAGCGAGGGAGGAGCCAGCGAGTGCGGGAATGGGGGGGGGGAGCGCTTCTTCGCTGTCCCCACTCTCCCTCGGCGAGCAGCCGGGGCGCACGGACGGACCAACTAACCGACTCCCTGCGGGGCTGCGCTGCCAAGGGGGCGCGGACACCCGGTATCCTCGGCCAGCCCAGCCCTTTCCATCCGGTCGTGCCCCGCCCCGTCCCGTCGGGGCCGATGGCTCCTTCCGAGGCACGGAGTCCGGGGGGCGCAGGGTAGAGCTCCGCAGCCCCGCTACGTAACCGGGGACTCCCCGGGTCCTTACGGAGCCCCGCGGAGTCCCCGCCGTCTGTCCGGCGGGATAAGGGAGCGAGTGGGAGCGCCCTCCCCCCCGCCGCCCCCTCCCCCGATCGTTGAGACAAGATGCTGCCCGGGCTCCGGCGCCTGCTGCAAGGTAGGGACACCGGCCGGCGGGAGGACACTAGAGAGAGGTGCCCCTCTCCTTGGGCACGAGGGTGGGGCAGTGAAGGGGGTGGGGTAGGTAGGGAGCAAAAAAACCGCTTAGCGCGGGAGCCGCGCCTCCGCCCCCAGAGCTGCCAGCCGCAGGAGGGCACTGGGCTTGGAGCCTGCGGGAATGTGCGGGGAGCTCGTGACCGAGGGGGGACGCGGAGGGCAGACCGAGCTGGCTGGGAGGAGGAGAAAGAGGCTCAGGTTCTGTTGTCCCGGCTCCACCTGCTCCGGGGGACGCTGAGGACTCGGGCCGGCTGGGGAAGCGCCGACTCAGCAACTCCTCGTGCCCGGTGTCTCAGCACTTTCCAGTCACCTGGGAAGGCAAGCCATGTGGGTAGGGGTCTGCCTGGGGATGTTAGGGGTTAGAGAGCGATTCCCCAATATCCCTGCCTAGTCGCACAGATGGAGGGGCTAGGAGGCTAGTTCTGAGCACCGAGTGACAGCCAAGGGTGTGGGCTGGAGACTGGGGGCGGGGAGGGTAGGGGTCGGAAGGAGGAGGGGAGTCAGGATGAGAAAAGTGTCTAGGGAGGTGGGGGGTGAGAAAGAGGAGGTGGGGGCGGGATAAAGGAGGAGTAGGAGGAGGAATAAAGGTTAGACGACCGGAAACTGGGGTCCAGGGGAAGACCAAGGAAGAGGGAGGTGAGGGTGACCAGTTCAGGAGAGAGATGTAGATGGGGATAGAAAGCTAGAACGGGGCGGGGTGGGGGGAGATAACCGGAAGGGTGAGGACTGGTGCTCTAGGAGATTGGAATGGGAAGGGAATGGGAGGACTAGAAGCCAGCGGAAGCTGGTGAGGAAGGATAGATGTAAGAGTCAAATACTGGGAAAATGGTTACCAAGGTTGGGGGCCGGGATCCCTACGTGGTAGAGTGTTTTGAGATGGATTAGGATGTCAACAGAAGCCAGAGAGGGAGATGGAAGAGAAGCGATGGTGCCCAGGGAGTAGACAAAGAGGCTTCTGGTAACCACTTCCACGTGGGAAGCTCTCCATTCCAAAGCGCCTGCCTGTTAATATCCCTTCTCTGAGGAGTAGCTGGTGGGCTAGTCCAGAGGACCCTGAGCTTGGGGTCTGGGTTGGATATGAGAGAAGGAGAGTGAGCACTTTGAATGTGGTAGGGGGGGGGCAGCCTCCTTGGGGTGGGTACCTGGGCTGGCTCAGTGCTGCCATTTATATCTCCCAGCCCCGACGTCGGATCCTGCCGCCCCACAGTAGCTGCTTATTTTGGGGTGTTACATTCTGGCAGAGTGAGAAGCTGTTTGCAGCAGCTTTAAAGCCTCCAGTCACCTGCATCGGTGCCTCCTCAGGCCCCTGCGTCACTGATATGCCATCGCCCCCATGCCACTCCCAAGGCCCCCCACCTCCTCACCCTCTGCCCCCTCAGCATCTGCCGGGAAGGCCCCTGGCTCTTCCCTGAGGCAGCGTTTGAGGTGTGCAGATGGGGCTTGTATTTAGGACCCAGTACCCTCTTTCTACAACTAGAGGCCTATCTACTTTTCCTGGGACATCTCTGCCCTATTATGGTGCGCCCTGGTTCCTGCCTTGGACACTGCCCCCATCCCTTCCTCCTCAAGTTTCTTCTTCCCAGGGGCCTCTGGTCTAACGGTTGGCACAAGCTGAGAACTTTATCTCAGATCCTGGTACTCCAAGGTCTGGCAGCCCTTGGGCTTTGACCATGATCCCTTGCTGAATGGATCCTTTTGGCTCTGGGTACCTTAGCCTTCCGGGGATCGATATGGTGTTGTAGACTCTCTCCACTCCCTCCTGTAGCCAGATCTGGCTATGCCTTTGGTCACTGGTCACTTCTTCTTGACTCTCAATTGTGCTGTGCTCCAGAGTAACCAGAGCCTGGAGCCCAGGAATGGAAATCTTTGGAGAGAGCCTGTGTCCATCCTGTCCTGTCCCCACCCCACCCTCTAACCCTGACCCTGAACAGCCGAACAGCTAGCATTGTGATCCTCCCAAGACTGAGCATCCACAGGGTGTGATGGGGGAAGGAGCTCTGAAGGAAAGGTCAGAGTGGGTCCTTGGACCACAGCCCATCTCTGGATCCCACGTTACACTTGGACTTCATAGTGAAGTCTTCCTCCCTTCCTAGAAAGGTTGGGGCTTTTGTACTGTTGATCTCCCCTGGGGCCATGACAGGTTGGGTTCTGTGGATAAAGAGTGCGGCTTGCATAAATGGAGTGCTAGCATGCAATAGGTGATCAATAGCAGATCTTGTCCTTCTCTGGTCCCACACTCCATTCATGTTGGGGGCCTTAACAGAGGGTGAGGGAGGCTTGCAGAAAAGGCTTCCCTCTGCCTTTACTGCAAGGGAGGGAAGAAACCAAGGATTCTGAGAAGGACGGAAAGGAGTTCTACCAACCAGAAGCCCACTTTTCTGCTTTCCAGCCCTTGGTGATTTCCTGTCACACGAAGCTTTGTTTTCAATGGTGGCTGAGGATCCCCCAGTCCACCTCTGACACGCTGTGACTGCCCAGAACATGCATAGGGGAACCTAGAGTTTAAATGTGGTCCTCGGGGAGGGCCTGGAGGGGCTGTGAAGAGGCATGAGAAGTGGGCCTTAGGGAGGAGATGTGGGAGAAGGGGAATGGCGATAGGGGTGGGGTAGGAGAACAAGGTGCTCTCCCAACCCCCTATCTTGCCTCTGCCAGGAGTGCCCACTCCAACCCTGCCTGGGGGCAGAGAAGCCCAGAGCCCACCACCTCCCCCTCCCCCTTGCCTCCAGTGAGAGCCGCAACCTGAATTATGGATGAAGCTCCTTGGGTTACAGCTGCTTTGCACGGCAGCGAGGGCCAGAAATGGCATCAGAGTCACTGTTACGCAGCAACTGCCGTGGAGCCCCCCCACCAGGGTCCCTCCTCAAAGGGCCTGTAGGGAATACCACTGAGAAGGAAGGAAGTGAATCCTGCTGAGAGAAAGGTGTGGACGGGTGAGCAGGGAGGCAGTGAGGGCAAAGAGGAGGAGCACTGAAGGAGTGAGGAGCCAAACAGGGAGTTTGGGCAAAAATAGGTGAGGGAATTTGCGAGCCCCTGGTGAGCTTGACCCAAGCTTGGGACCTGGGGCCAAGGGAGTAGCCTTCTGGGTTTGTAGCCTTCCTGTTTTCTCTCCTCGGATAGCGGTCAGTCAAGCAGCTTCGGAGGCTAGAGGAAGAGTCCCATAATCCTGGGGGATGGGGAGGTTGACTGCCATGCTGCTGACACTGTTGAGCTTGTGGATCGGGGTGGGATTAAGGGATCAGAGAAGGATCAGGCTTCCTTTGGTGTAAAGTCCTTAGTGAGGCAGAGCTCAGAGGGTGACTCTGACAGGAACAGGAGTGCCCTACTGAACACCAGGCTGGTCTTTTCCTGGCCCTTGTCTTGTCCCACTTTGTAGTATGTGACCTTGGGTAAGTTGTTTGCCTTCTCTGAAATACAATTGTCATTCCCATAGGCCTTACACAGCTCTGAAATTTCCAGTTCTAAACCCCAGCCCTCAGTGCTGGGGAAGCCCACCCAGGGTCCCCACTCTGGACTTCCACACCCCACTCCTTCTTCGTTAAGATCAGGGGTGAGAGACATGCTCCTCCACCCCACGTGGCTCTGAAAAAACTCAGGAGAAAAGTAATCGTGAACCACCGCACGGGGGAGGGGTGAGAAGGACCGAGAAACGCGGAGGTGGTGTGAACGAATGGAACAGCCGCGCTGTGTCACTGAATATTACATCACACCCAGCCTACACACGCACGGGGCCCGGCACTCACACACGCAGAGGACCGCCAGCACATGCTCGCTCACTCAAGCACCAGGAGGGGCCATCTACATCGACACACACAATAGGGCTGGGTTGGCCTTGGGAAGTGCCTTAAAGAGCTGGGGGTTGGGGGGAGAGCACCTGCCCAGAGACACAGGAAACTGTCAGTGGAGCTCCCCAGGAAAAGATACAAGGATGCTTGTCTGATACAATGTTGCCTACCAGGCTGCTGGCACCTTCAGTAGTAAGCACCTGTCTCACACTGCACCCCCCCCCCCAGATCACAGACACCCCTTCATACACACAGACACCTCAGAGCACCTGGAGACCTCACACTCAAACCTCAGTTGGCAGCCTTAGAGATCTGACACTCAAAGTTACCCATCTCAGCTACACCCCACTCTCCCCCCCACAAGCCATGGGGACCCTCAAACCAGGTCTTCCTTTCTCTGACTTCTGAGGTCAAAGGAGTGGCTCCTGGCCTTGAAGGTGCAGGCTCAACCCTCCCCATGGGAAACTTCCCAGGAAAATCTCAGACTTTCTGGAAATTCTGATAGAACTAAGGCCAAGGGGGTTCCAGCTGGAGCCTCTCTCTTCAGCATTAAGGGCTAGGACTCTGAGCTCCTTGGTGGGGCAGAGAAACACAAGCACCCATTCTGGACACTAGGGTTTTTTTGTTTTGTTTTGTTTTGTTTTGTTTTGCTTTGCTTTCCTGACTGTATTGTAAGAAGAATAGCCCATGCCCAAACTCCAAAAGTTACTTTTGACAAAGAAAAGTAACAAAGACTTTAAAGGAGACTTTGAATGAGTAGAGAGCCTGGGTTGATTCTGCAGCCTCGCCCTCTAACCACTTCCTAGGTGGAAAGGCTAAGATTCTTCCAAGGCCTTCAAGGAGACGGAGGAGGGTGTGGGTCACCCTGCCACCTACAAGCCTTCTAGCCACAACGGGTCTCAAGTTAGTGTCTAGCTTTCTCGTGTGGGCTGGTGTTGCTCTCAGAGGACATTTGGCAATGTCTAGAGACATTTTGATTGTCATAACTGGGGGCAGGGTGCTGCTGGCATCTGGTGGGTAGAAGACAGTGCTGTAGTTTAACACCCTAAAAAGGGTTGTCCCTATCCCAAAGAATCCCCAACCCGACCTCAGTATTAAGGAAAGGAAACCCTGACCCTAGTCTTAGACTGTAGACCTCAACTCTAAACAAGGTCAAGCACGCAACAATTAAAAAGATGCCTGCTCCCCAAACAAGTTTAGACATTTCCCCGCGCTGTCTACAAAATCCACCAAGTGTTTGGGGGTGCAGGCCTACCTCTCCCCAGGCAAACCTCAGAGGCTTTCTGGGTATCCTGACAAAGGGAGGATGTCAAGCTGGTTCTGTCTTTATCTGCTCTGTTGAGAGGTAGAGGACAAAGGAGAGGGGTGAATGAAAGAGGAGCCCTCACTCCTCCATGCTGTAACACAAGCATCCACTCTCACCAAACTCTAGCTCCCAAAAAAGAGGTTTGAAACCTCTCTCTCTGTATGTCTCTAACCCCTGTTTGCCTCTGTCTGTCTGTCCCTCTCTGACTTGCCTCCCCATTACGTCTCTCTGCCTTGCACAATCTCAGTCTTGGAGCTGATCGTAGCTGAATTGGTGGAGTGCCTGCCTACCATGCACAAGGCCCTGGGCTTCATCTCCAGCACTGCATAAACCAGGCATGGAGCACACCACTATCATCTCTGCACTAGGAAGGTAGAGGCAGGGGGATAAGAAATTCAGGGCCATGCTCAGCTAAACATTACATTTGAGGGCTACCTGGGCTACATAAGACCGTCTCAAAAAGAAGAAAACACAGACATACACACAGAGAGACAGACAGACAGAGACAGACAGAGAGACAGAGACAACAAAGAGAGAGAGAGGGAGGGAGAAAATGAGGTTCCTGTACCTCAAAGAAACCTAGAGAGTGATGTGAGGGGAGGGGCCAGGCCTCCTGAGCCTGTGAAGTTGTAGCTAGACCCCCACCCCACGCACCCAGTAAGCCTCAGTAAGCCTCGCTCTGCTCTCCCCACAGGTCCTGCCTCAGCCTGCCTACTGCTGACACTCCTGGCCCTCCCTCCAGTGAGCCCCAGCTGCCCTATGCTCTGCACCTGCTACTCCTCCCCACCCACCGTGAGCTGCCAGGCCAACAACTTCTCCTCAGTGCCGCTGTCCTTGCCACCCAGTACACAGCGACTCTTCTTGCAGAACAACCTCATTCGCTCGCTGCGGCCAGGCACCTTTGGGCCCAACCTGCTCACCCTGTGGCTCTTCTCCAACAACCTCTCCACCATCTACCCTGGCACCTTCCGCCATCTGCAGGCCCTAGAGGAACTGGACCTCGGTGACAATCGGCACCTGCGCTCCCTGGAGCCTGACACCTTCCAGGGCCTGGAGAGGTTGCAGTCACTACACCTGTACCGCTGCCAGCTCAGCAGCCTGCCTGGCAACATTTTCCGAGGCCTGGTCAGCCTACAGTACCTCTACCTCCAGGAGAACAGCCTGCTCCACCTACAGGTGAGTCGGCCATCTCCCCGAGGCCTCTTCCACCTCTTTCTCTCTGGACCCAAGTACCCTTCCTGTCTTCTTCCCTGTCACCCTTCCCGACTCAGCATCTCCCTCTACCTGTTTCTCTGTCTTCTTTCTCAGTGTCTGTCCACCCCTCTTTCTCTGTATCTCTCTAACCCCCATTCGCCTCTGCCTGTGGGTCTGTCCCTCTCTGCCTGTCTCCTGACTCGCCTCCCCCATATGTACGTCTCCCTCTGCCTCTTCTGTCTGTCTCCCTTCATGCACCCACTCAGCACACTCCCCAAAGTCTGCAGATCTCTCCTTTCTCCAAGAGCCTCAGCCCAGAGGCCTTTGCATGATCTTTTCCCATCCACCCCCAAGCCCTCCCACGTGTCGTGCAAGCTGGACAAAGGGTGGAGTCACTGCTAGCGAGGGGGTTGTCTCACAGAAGTCACACTCTTCCCTGATCACACTTGGGAGTAAGAGCACAGGGGAAACCTCACCCTTTCTAGATCCTGTCCCTTAAACCCATTGTCTCAGGGGAAAACTCTGCTACATAGCTGGGGGGTGAGGGGTGGGAGTGAGAAGAATAGTTGTTATTGTTATCATTGATCTCATTATTAATTGTTATTGTTGTTATGCTGGCTGTCTGGCAGTTAAACCCTCACCTCTCATTTCCCCAGGAAGCAGAAACATACCCTTCTAACAAACACCCAGGAAGATATTTCCCTAAAAGCAGAGGCTTTGGCTAGAAGGGGGTACTTCCCCCCTGACGCAGAAGGCTCTGCCTTCTCCCCAACCTGGGCTTGGTCATCAGTGTGCCTGATGCTCCTCATAACAAGAGTGATGGTAATTTATCAATGGATTGAACATCCATGCTGTATCATAAATACAGCCGCTTTGAAAACAGTATTCAAATGAAAAAGGGGAGGGCAGAAAAATGCATAGTGACTGGAATAGTATTCTCATTATTGCTGAATAACAACAATCAACTTAGCAGGCACACAGTATACATTTTGTTGGGTCCTGGGCAAAACACTTTATAGACATCAATACTGCCATTTATAAGCATGTGGCAGTTTTCAAACCTCAGTTTTCCTATCTGTGAAGTGGGAGTAATATGAGCATCCATCACCCAGGGATTTTGTAAGCACTAAATGCATGAATAATTTGTAGCACACTTAGAATAGTGCTTGGCATATATAAGAGCTATATAAATGCTCGTTAAAATGCCATGTTTTTTTTAAATGAGCTTTATTTAACATTGGTCTCAGGGATGTGCCCCAGCTTGAACTTCGTCTTAGAGATCTGGGTCAACTCTAAGGATTATTCTGAGGCCATGGATAGGATCCAAGACACACCTCCTGTTTCTCTTCTTCCTGAATTTGTTGGGAGCCACGGTTACAGAGCACACTCAGTCACTTCGTCTCATGCCTACAGGCCTTTGCAGGCAGAGGTTTTTCACCAGAGTGCACACTGGGGAGGTACACACTGGGGATCCCATGGGTGTGGGGGACATATGTCCCTGAAGCCACTGTCCCTGTGACTGGGGCCTTACTAGTCTCCCCACCAGCCTGAGCTTCAAATTGCCTGGCAGCAGGGACAGACAGAGTGGAAGCTTCTGCAGCTACATAGCTGGGGAGGAGGGGCTGACACTTGGCCTGCCTGATAAGTCTAACTTCCCAGGGCTAGTACCCTGAAGAACTAGGAGTTTCTGCTAGTTTGCTTAGTTTTTTTGTGCTGTGGCTGGTTGACTGGCTTTTGTTTTTTGTTTCAAGATGAGGTTTTGTGAATCCCAGGCTGGCTCTGAACTTACTATGTAACCAAGCATGGCATTGAACTTTAACTTCCTCTTCCTCTTCTTCCTCCTCTTCTTCCTCCTCTTCCTCCTCCTCCTCCTCTTCCTCTTCCTCCTCCCCCTCTTCTTCTTCCTCCTCATTTTCTTTCTCTTCTTCCTCTTCTTCTTCCTCTTCTCTTCTTCCTTTCCTTCCTTCTTTCGTTTTTTTTTTTGAGATTCATTTTTATGTGTATGGGCGAACATTTGTGTACCACACGTGCACGGTGCCTGATGAGACCAGAAGAGAAAATCAGATCTCCTGGAGTTGGCATTATAGATGCTTGTGAGCTGGCCTATGGGTGCTAGGAATCAAACCTAGGTCCTCTGCAGGAGCAGCCAGTATGCTGAGCCATCTCTCCATCCCTGACCTTGAACTTCTTAATCACTCCTGCCTCTGATTCCTGAGTGCTAGAATTACACATTTGCACCTGCATGCCTAGTTTATACGGCAGTGGGTGGATCCCTGGTCTTTGGGTATGCTAGGCAAGCATTCTACCAAGTGAGCCATATCCCCAGCCCTGTGGGTTCATTTTTCAAAGCACTTTCCAGCCTCTCGTCTTTTCCATGGCTTTGCACACACTATTCTTTCCATCTTCTCATTTGCATCCCTGAGTTGGCACCTTAGTTATGTTTATCTAGAATATTCATCAGTATTAAATGAAAGGCATGTAGCACAGGCTATACTCTGAGATGAAAGCACCATAATTGTTACAGGTTGAGCACCCTGATCTGAAGAAGTGGGGATCAGATGTGTTTGCTTCAGATTTTGGAAGATTTGTATACACATAATGAGTTATCTTGAAGACAGGACCTAAGTCCAAGCACGTAGCTCACTCATGTCTCCTGTATGCTTGCCCACATAGTTCATCTATAGCTCCTATACGGCTGGCCTCATAGCCTAAAGGAGATTTCATACAAACTTCATAATTCGAAACAAAGTTTCCTGGTGGGGAACTCTCCACTAGTGGTGACAAGTTATTTTGCTGCTCTGAAAGCTTTAGATTTTAGAGGATAGAGGATTTCAGATTTTCTCATACAGGGTGTTTGACCTTTGTTTTTAATTTTTAAATTACATTTTTTTATGCTTATAGCAGGTAGAAGGTTCATATGCCATGGCTCACACATGGAAGTCAAAGGACAACTTGGGGGGGGGGGGTTGGTTCTCTCTTTCCTTCATGTTCTCTTTTCCTTCTTTCCAACTATTGAACCTAGGTCACCAGGCTTGGTGGCAGACAATTTTATTGGCCAACTTGCTGGCCTTGATTCTGTACTACTCCTAAGACCCTGACCTCTCCATCAGTATCGAGACAGTATTCATTATTTGGCTTCTGGGAAGGTGCCTTTCCTCTCTAAGCCTCCATCTCCTCTTCCTAGGGGGGAGTGAGTCACGTAAATGATGCCTTCCACGAGGACCGGCTGTGAGATGCTAGTAGGTTAAGGTGTAGATAGAATACACAGCTTCAAGGTTAACCAATTACTCCTCACCCTCCGGCCACAAGCAGCGCCTGTGCCTGGAGTCAGCTGAAGCCCAAGCCTAAGGAACCTCTAGGTGGTCACTGGGGTCTTCTGAATTGGGAATCCGTTTTTCTTTTCTGAACAATCTTGGCCTGTGCAGCACCAGGTTTCATAGGAAGGAAGCCTCTTCACACCTGGTCCTTTATAGAGAAGGGAAGAGACAGCCTCTGTCTGTGAAGTACCTGATGGAACTAGGCCAGGAGATGCCACAAGCAGGTGAGGAAGCATGTGGCTCAGTGAGATCCTCAGGAGCAGGTGTGACCATCAGGGAGGATGGAGCCCAGCCTGTCCCAGGTAGCTTCTGGAGGAGGCCCACTGTTAGGATGTGGCGGGTGCCCATTGGAAATGGCGGAGTTTCTCACGGAATGTCTGCTGAGGGCTAGGCACTGTGCCAGGCCAGTTCATTCACCAGCAGACTCCTCAGTGAGCACCTACTGCATGCCAGGCAGCATGCAGGGTGCCAGGGATTCCAGGGTGAACAAAAACAGTATCCCTGCTCTGCCGGAGCCTGTTGGAGAGTGGCCAGATGGTAAAGCTGTTTCTCTCCTTTGGTTACCGCAGTGGCTTACTTGGTGTTTGCAAGCAGTGTTTGAGCTCAGGCAGACCTGAGTTCTAAATCTAAGCGCTCTCTAATTTGCTGTGCCCTCCTGGTCCTAGTCCCATCTATGATGCCCAGGGTAGGAAGTTCGGTGAGGACTAAAGGAGATGATAACTTGGAAAGAATACAGAGCCGGTGGAAGTGAGCAACATCACTGAATTCACCAACCTTAGCGTTGCCAGGGTAGAACTAGCCCAGGTCTAGTAGGTTCTGCAGCGCAGGTGTTGAGCATTCTGTCTCTGGAGTTCATGCCTGTGTTAGATGCTGGGTCTTAGACAAGTGGCTCCCCTTCTCTGATACCCTCTCTGTTACTCTCCAAATAGAGATAATCATAGCATCTGCCTCATAGTGTTGATGATTAAGATACTATCAGGATCTGTGCCATACAGAGTTTGGCATTCAACGAGAACTTGGCAAATCACCTGCTGACGCCGATGCTTATGACTCCTGCCATGGATGGGCAAGCACCATGAGCGGGGTGTGTGTGGTGTGTGTGTGTGTGTGTGTGTGTGTGTGTGTGCCTAATGCAGCATGCACACACAGAACAGCTTTGCTCAATGAGTGAGATACACTCCCGGGCTCACTGAGTCAAAATTAGCAAACGCTTAGGGGACCTGGGGGATCAGCCACTCCAAGTCACTTATGGTGCAGATTAAAAAAAAACAAAAACACTGAGGCCCAGAGAGGTGCCTGGAGCTGTCCAAGGTCACACAGCCTGAGTGGCTGAGAAGATCAGTACCAGTGCCAGGTGCTGGAAGGTTGGAGGAAGGCAAGGTTAAGAATAGGATGCTCTCAGGCACGGTTGGGAAAGTGTAGGGAAGCTGCATTTAGATTCCAAATGGATACAGAAAGCTGTGAACTGGCCAGGCAGGAGGCAAGAGAAATGCGGTTTTTGAAATGGAAGAGAATGACTTTAGCAGATGTTCCAAGCCCAGAGGGAGGGGGCGTGCAAGAAGGTGATGGGGGAGGGCAGGGTCTGTGAAAGTCAAAAGCTTATTAATGCACAGAGAAAGGTTTTAATGGCGGAGAGAGGAAGGACCAGATTTGAGAGCTTCAGCCCAGGAAGTGATTTGGCTATAACTTGGGTTGGGGGAGGGGAATGGACCCCAAGGCTGAGGCTCAGATTCGGGAGGAGCAAGACTTTTAGCCAAGAAACACAACACAGAGGAGGGGAGGCTGGAATACAAAACTGAGCTGTGGTTGAAAACATCTGGGTTCCCTGGGGTGTCCGAACCCCAAGTCTCCAAAGATGTGCTTAGCCTGGTGCCGTTCTCCTGTATCCCCACACTGATCCTCTGAACATACTTCCCTGGGTGTGACCTCCTACTGCTGACACTCTGAAGAGAAACCCCAAGGGAAGGGTTAAGCAGAAAGGGCTCAGACTACATCTGAGCCTGGGCAGGACAGGAAAGGAGAAACTGGAAGGGCATACCAGCGAGGCTGAGGCTCCTGGGGTGAGCCGGTCAGCTGGGGTAGGGGTGGGGTGGGGTGGGGCTGAACAGCCATTCCTGGTGATGGCTTCAGAGGGTGGAGACCACTGTCCTGGTGTTAGAGGTAGCAAGAAGGTTGAGAAGGACTGATCTCAATGTGGCCAAGAGGAGGGTTCTTGGCAGACTCAGTTCCTGTAGCAGAGAGGGCGGAAGGCGTATGGGAGGAGGTGCGAGCACAGAGGAACACAGGAAGGTAGAGGCTTGGATCTGAGCTGGGACTCAGCACACTCCCCCTCCTGAGACCTTCGACCAGGTGCCCAGGTAGCATGAGGAAGGAACCATCTCCCCAGGTACTGGGGGAGGGAGAGACAACCAGGGTTGGGGAACAGGCCCAAGGTGAGCTGGCAGAGAGGAAGACTCATGTCCTATTAAACCAGAGCTTCTGGAATCTACTGATCACAACAATTTGGGGAGGACTCCAAGGTTGTGGGGTAAGAAGAACAGAGTTCTGGCTCTTTCTACAGTATATCCTTCATCTCTAAAGCAAACTGTACTTTTAAGGGGTAGATCCTAAGTTCTAGCTCCCAAATCACACTGTACATGAGTCGGGGCCCAACTTGGACTCTTGAACATCAGTTGGCAAACACTCTACAACTGAGCTACAGCCCCACCAAGGGTTACCAGCTCACCACCAATGGTTCCCTGGCAAGCTGGTTAAAATACAGAGTCCACTCCCCATGGTCATACCTACATCTGTATTTCTGAGCCATAATCCCAAGGTTCTCCCAGGGATGGCTCCTGGGATGTCTCCCAAGGTCTCCACCCCAGGGACTGTCCCCACACTGTAAGAGGACTTCACAGTGCATCAGGACTTCAGCTTCATCCCTCCTTTTCTATGTCTGTAATGTGGAGCTGACACTAGACCCTGAGTAACTCTGCCAGGAGGACTGCTAGTCCCCAAAGAGCATCTCTCTTAGAGAAAAATGGATGGGATGGGATTCTAAATGAGCCCCCGCTGTCATGACAACCGTGAATTATGGATGGTTGACTCTGCTTCTATTAGCTGCTGTACCCTCAACAGCATCATAACATCTAACCCTCCTTCAGTCTGTTGAAGAATCTTTTTCCCTTTTATACTGAGGAAACAGGGTCTCAGTGGGGCTAAACAACTTGCCCAGAAGCTAGGAAAAGGAAAAGCTGGGGTTTGTATTGGTGCTTTTACCTCCTGAGCCTGTGGGCTTCATCCCTGGACCAAAACTCTATCTGCAGGAACTGTACCCATCACTCCACCCCATGAACCTTATTGTGAATGCTCTTCATGGGTCCTCAGAACAGACCCAAGAGCTAGAAACACTCATTTCTTTCTTTTTTTTTGGGGGGGGGGTTCAAGACAGGGTTTCGGTGTGTAGCCCTGGCTGTCCTGGAACTCACTCTGTAGACCAGGCTGGCCTCGAACTCAGAAATGCCTGCCTCTGCCTCTCAAATGCTGGGATTAAAGGCATGCTGCTACCACTGCCCGGCCACTCATTTCTACTTTACAGAGAAGAAAGCATGCTTAGAAGTAACTTTGTCTTGGCCAAATTGACAAACACGGCTAATTCACATGATGTCTGCCCACGTTAAAAATCCAAACATCTTAATACATGCCGCTCCATTTCATCCTCACATTTCAGAGAACGAATCTGAAGCACAAAAAGATAGAATGAATTTTCCCAGGCATCTCAGTCAGTTCATGACAGACCCATGATCTGACTCTCAAACTCCGAGTGTCATCTTCAGGCAACCTCATCAACATCTCTCTGGGAAGGCAGACTTACCCCACACCTGCCAGATGGCAAGCACTGGGAAGTGACTGGAATCTGACAGGGACTGGGATACACTCTAACTCTAAGAATCAGGCAGGTGAGGTGGCATTATCTCTGTGCGATGGTTAGTATTGACTACCATCTTGACAGGATCTAGATTCACCTAGGACTAGCAAGATGGCTCATCAGAAAAGTAGCTATTACCAAGCATGGTGGCCTGAGTTCTATCCTGGAAACCTTTATAATGAAAGGAGAGGACACACTCCCACAAGTTGTGTACACACACACACACACACACACACACGGAGCTGGGATACACTAAATAAATAAATTTTAAGACCCAGTGATATAACCGGGTATTGTGTTACTGAGTCAAGCTACTCAAGAGGTTCAAGCACGAGAATGACACGTTCAAGATCCACCTAGGCTAAACAGCAAGTTCAAAGTCAGCCTAGGCAATTCGATGAGACTCTGTCTCAAAATACAGATAGATGTAAAAAAAGTGCTGGGGCTGTAGTTCAGCGGTAGAGTTCTTGCCTGGCATTGTTGTACTAGGTTCTGTCCCTTGTGGCCCTGAGCAACGTGACCCACTGACCTCAATTGTGTAGCTTTTTTCCATAGGAAATAGGTTAGAAGATGCGGGGGTTTCAAGTTCAGGGCTCAGACTCAGTTGATAAGGTGCAGTCTTGCATGTTTGAAACCCTGGGTTTGATCTCCAGAACCACATTAAACATTAAACTGTTTTGGTAGCACAAGCCTGAAATCTCAGAAATCAAGAGGTGGATTCAGGAAATTAGAAGATCTTGGTTACACAGCTGGGATACCGATGCGTGAGCCCTTTCCCACTTTTCCACCCTGCCATTATGCCTTCCCCTAGGTCCTGGAGTGGAGTCTCCGACCCTGTCTCAAGCCACTCTCTTCTGTCTCCATCCCCCACTCAGGATGACTTGTTCGCGGACCTGGCCAACCTGAGCCACCTCTTCCTCCACGGGAACCGCCTGCGGCTGCTCACGGAACACGTGTTCCGCGGCTTGGGCAGCCTGGACCGGCTGCTGCTGCACGGGAACCGGCTGCAGGGCGTGCACCGCGCGGCCTTTCACGGCCTCAGCCGCCTCACCATCCTCTACCTGTTCAACAATAGCCTGGCCTCGCTGCCTGGAGAGGCGCTGGCCGACCTGCCGGCGCTCGAGTTCCTGCGGCTCAACGCCAACCCCTGGGCGTGCGACTGCCGCGCTCGGCCGCTCTGGGCTTGGTTCCAGCGCGCGCGGGTGTCCAGCTCCGACGTGACCTGCGCCACCCCGCCAGAGCGCCAGGGCCGGGACCTGCGCACGCTGCGCGACTCCGATTTCCAAGCGTGCCCGCCGCCCACGCCCACGCGGCCGGGCAGCCGCGCCCGCGGCAACAGCTCTTCCAACCACCTGTACGGCGTGGCCGAGGCGGGCGCTCCCCCCGCAGACCCGTCCACGCTCTACCGAGACCTGCCTGCTGAGGACTCGCGGGGGCGCCAGGGTGGGGACGCGCCCACCGAGGACGACTACTGGGGGGGCTACGGCGGCGAGGACCAGCGGGGCGAGCAGACGTGTCCCGGGGCCGCGTGCCAGGCGCCGGCAGACTCGCGTGGCCCCGCGCTCTCGGCCGGGCTGCGCACCCCTCTGCTCTGCCTCTTGCTCCTGGCGCCCCATCACCTCTGACTGCGGTGCTCAGACGGAAGAGGCCACGGCCTTCGCCCCGCTCCCTTCTCTGCCCCACGGAGCCTCAGCTCCATCCTCGCCCCCTGTTTGCGACCCGGCCTGGTTCCTTCCCTAGGCCTCCTCGCTCTTTTTCTCCCCACCCCCGACCCCCGACCACGCTGCCTCATTTGCCTTCTGGGCGGTTGTGACTTATGTATGGCAGCCCCTAAGACGGTATAGAAGGTGGCTCGGCCCCATTCGCCCTGATTCTAGCCATTAACTCTTCTTCCCCCATCCCAAGCCTGGGATGTGGCACCCCAGGCAGCCGTTGCTCCTCTCTCCAGGGCCCCACGGAGGGGCTTTAGTCTGCAGAGCACCTTCCACCAGCAGAGCCTTTGAAAGCTCCCCCTGGGAGCCTCCCCTCCTCCCCCGGATCTTCGGAGGGATGTCTCAGCAAGGCCCAGGCTGTCCCTGGACCCTGTTTGTCGTGATCCCTTCAGCCTCCTGACACCGGAGGAATACTTTTCTCCTAAGTCTACCCGGGACACTTTTTAGGGTGCCTGGAGAGTTTCCTCTCCACCATGGCCCCTGTGTGGTGAAGATCAAAAGAAATTGTTTGGGGGAAAAATTTATTAAAAAATTCTATTATTTTATCTCCTGTAAGGTTTTTTTTTGTTGTTGTTGTTGTTTGGTTGGTTTGGTTTTTTTGTTTGTTTCTCCTCAAGACCTCAAAGACAGTGGGATGGTAGTGCCACTTATCTTTAATCTCAGCATTCAGGAGGCAGAGGTAGGCAGATCTCTGTGAATTCGAGGCCAGCTTGGTCTACAGAGTGCGTGTCAGGACACCCAGGGCTGTTACACAAAGACCTGGGGCTCAGGCCACCAGTATTTCCTGCTGAGCAGGTTCACCTGCACTGACTTCTCTGACCTGGGCCTCAAGGTCATTCAGATCCTCCCAAAGCTTCTGTTTCTTGAGTTACCTGGGTGTTGGGGATGTGTGCGGGTGGCACCAATTTGCCCAAGAGAAGCAGCTACGATCAGCCCTGAAGGGTTTGATGGCTGAACAACTAGTGGGGTGACTGAAAGCCTGCCTAAGAGGTCTCTAGGAAAGAAATGCAGCCCCTACCTTCCCCCGCCAGGAGGCATCGTAGTTTAGACATCCATGGGCACAACCAGCCTAAACATGTCTTTGGGCCTCTCTGGAAAAAGACAGGTTTTCCTCAGGAGAGCACAGTGGCACCTCAAAAGACTGAAAGAGCAGAACCTAAGACTAGATTTCAGCTTGTGTTTGTTGAATGGCCCCATATGAAGTATTCAACATACACAGCTCTTCTCAATGCCTGACAGCCATCTGGTCTTTCTCTTTGCTCCAGTGAGATAGAAGCCTTCATAGGTGGATCGAGCCAAGGAAACAGTTCTCTGAGCAGATTAGAAGAGGTTAAGAAAATCAAGGGACAAGGATTTCCAGTTGGAGTGCCTTACACTGCAGTGTGGCTAGGAGCTCCCTCTCCTGGGCAGGTAAAGAGGCTGGGGGCAGGGCTAGCATGAAGCTTAGCCTCGAGACTCATCAGATGGAAATGATCTAGGATCCAGAATTAAGGATGTAAGCTGAGAGGTGGGAATGGCAGAACAGGAGGGATCTGGGTGCTAGGGTTTCAGGACTGAGCTACTACTGGGATCCTATAAGGCTGGCCAGTGATGTGCAAGGATGGTCAGAAGAGGGGATGGACACAGGGAGGGCTAGGTATCCAAAGCCTGTAGCAGATGGACTTTAGATGTGAATGTGACATGGATAAGAGAGCAGTGAGAAAGAGGTCAGAACTGGAGAGATCTGGGCTGAGGGTCTTATAAGGGCCTGTATTAGGCTGGCTTTGGGGAAGCTCATAAGTGGGACTGGGGAGAGAAAGGAGGTGGAGGTTAAGGTTGAGGGGGAAGGGGAGATGTGAGCTAGAAAAGTGCAGTGTTGGAGGAGGGGCTTCTGGGCCAGGGCAGGGGAGGGGAGTATGCTGGTAAATCAGAGGCAGGCTGTCCAGGTCACAGAATTATCGTTGTGAAATATTCATGGACCTTCGGTCCAGATGCTATTTCAGAACAACGAGAGCAGGAGGAGTGTGTGAGAGCCTCAGGAAGAAGCCTAGAGCAATACTGCTCCCCACTGGCCCCCACCACAGCCACTGCTAGCCCAGACAGACCAAGGGACGCCCAGCACGTGCACACCCACACTCCCTAGCTCTCCCTCACACACATGCACGCACGAACACACACACACACAAAATGGAGCCCTGCGGCAAGTGTAAGCACACCAGCCACCCACGGGTCCTACAAACAGGCAGATGCACCCCAGATATATGGACGTGTACCCACACCCTCTCTCTCACCCAGGACCCCACCCTCAGCAATCTCACAAGCTCAGATACCCAGCTTCTCCGAACAATCCAGATTGACAGCTGTGAGCCATATACCCCAGAATAGAAGAGATGGGCAAGACTATGTATCTCAACCCCCACCAATGTCCTGATAAGGAAACTGAGGCCAGAGGGTCCAGGAATGGACTCATCCATGACTCCCCTAACTCCTGGAAGAAACAAAATCCATTCACCTCCCACATTCTGTGAGTGTGCCTCCATTCTGGATGCTTCGGCTCTTTTCAGACGCCCAATGTGGTTGGCGTTAGCTCCTCCTTTCTTTAATCTCCTACATCTACTCCGTTCCCAAGCCCCCCTCCTGGCCCCTGTCCATGTTCTCCTTCCTAGCCCCTACCACCTCCCCGCTGAAGCTCCTCATTACCTCATGCTTAGAATATAAATGAAAAGGGAAGTAATCTCTACTCAGCTTTTTCTGCACTCGGTCTCCCTCCCTCCAACCCAGCCTGTTCACAGTGACCAGACTCATCTGGCCAGACTGTGTTACTATGTCGATCTGAAACTTCTCATGGCTCCCCCATAACCTTCAGATTCAAGGTAAAACACTTTATCCAGGGATCAGAGAGGTTTCACCGTCAAGAAGCAGCTGCTATTCAAACCTTCCCACCTTGATGGCCAGCAGGCAGCCAGCCTTCTCTAAAGCTTGAATGTTTGTGGCCACCTGGCTTGAGATGCCAGAATCCCCAGACATCTACTTTGAATGCTCCCTAAAGTTCATTCATCTCTCCCAAAACTAGGAAACTCCTCCCTGCTCTCCTCAGATCAACAGACTCCAGAGTTCTTCCTCAAAGCCAAGACTGCACCTTCTTGCCCATAGGTAGGGCTCTTCACTGCCCTTCAAACTACAGAGATGAAGTAGCCCAGAGGATGGCTGTCCCCTACTGGCCATCACGGGAAGCACAGACAGGCTCTGTCACCACAAACTGCCGAGTGAGCATGCAATCTCCCGGGGAGAGGAATAGAAGGACGCCAGATGACAAGCTTTTTAAGCCCTTAAGCTTCTCAGGTTCTTACACCCAGACTGGGGGTGAGGGTGTTTTCAGCCCGGTTTTCTGAGCAGCTGGCTCCCCACTTTAGATCTCTAATCTGTTAGAGAGCTCTTTTACAAAACATGAAAACGGGGCTTCCAGGACCCTTTAGAAGGGATAGTTGGCCAACAACTTCTGAGAGGCCACAAAAGCAGATCCCAGACCAGGTGGTAGGCCTAAGGTCCAGCTAGGGTCAGGTTTCTCTATGAATTTTTAATGCTTCCAGCCAAACCTGTCAGATGTCCTGAAACCTGAGTATCCGTCTCCTTCCTTCTGTACTAGATGCCCTTGTCTATCCCAGTGTTCCTGGGGAGTGGGCCAGAGAGGGGACTCTGGGATCGCTATGCTCTAGAAAGTGGTTTAGGGTAGTAGAGGGTTCTCCTACTTCCTAGCTCTGTGACCTTGGCAAATTACTTCTCCTGGTATCCCTTTTTTGTTGGTGGTGTTGGTTTGGACATCTGGGTGGGGGAGGTCCCGATATAACTGAGTTGAAGTGGAGAGCAAGCACCCAGCAGGCCACCGGAAAGGGGAAATGGCCTGTGTTTGTCGGTACCATCTTCCCACAAGCCCTGTCTCTTCTCGTCTTGTTTTCTTCCACCCCTAGAAATGGCTTCGTCTCTTTGTTTTGAAGGTGGGACTCTAGCTGCTTTCGGTATCCTCAGTCACCTCCAAATAGCCTGAGCCTCAAATTTCTCCCAGGAACTACAGATGAGAAGAGAGGGGGAGGTTTGAGCAAAAAGTAAACAGTAGAGCTGAAGAGTGGGGAGAAGAGATGGGACTAGAGAGGGGGAAACCCTGAGTCTGGCGAAAGGGGGCCGCCCATCTTAGAGAAGAGCCAGGTGCAGGCTCTCCCTTTTATCTCGGATTCCTCCCCTCCCAGTGACCTCCGCTTCCCTTTTTCCTCTTTGCACCTTCTCCACGCCAGATATCATCACACCAGAGACAGCCACAGTGTGCGGGGGAGGGGGGAGGGGCCATAGGAGGAAGTGGGTCCCCATTTTTCCCAGTCCATTCAGCTTTTGCATTGTGCTTCAAAAATAAGAACCGTTCTATCTGAGTAAGTGGGAAACCGATTCCTGAGCCCCTCGACCGACCGCTGCTGGATCAGATAGCTGGAAGTCCAGGAATCTGCTTTTTTTTTTTTTCAAGCGGAGATCCACTGTAAGTGCGCTCAAGACTGAGAGTGGGGGAGAGAGAGGAAAGAGTGAAGCAGACAGAGCAATGCAAAAGAAAGTCAGAGGTCCTCCCCAAACATACACACTCGGAGGACGCTGTGAATGAGAATTCTGTGTAGAGGACAGTGGGTACAAATAAAAGATGGAGGATTAGGCCGGGCGGTGGTGGCGCACGCCTTTAATCCCAGCACTTGGGAGGCAGAGGCAGGTGGATTTCTGAGTTCGAGAGTTCGAGGCTAGCCTGGTCTACAGAGTGAGTTCCAGGACAGTCAGAGCTACACAGAGAAACCCTGTCTCGAAAAACCAAAAAAAAAAAAAAAAAAAAAAAAAATATATGGAGGATTACAGCCAGAACGTGCTTGCCTCCACTAGGATGGATAGGGCAAGAGCATAACAATGAGTTCGAGGCCAGCCTGGGCTATAGGGAGTTCCAGGCTAACTTGGGCTACACACTGAGGTCCTGTTTAAACAAAAATACAAGATGGATACTATGATGCGTGGGAAAAGAGGGACCCAAGTCATACGGGGTGGGAAGTGGCCAAGATGAGTCTGAGAAGCAGCCAGAAGCAAGACTTTGCACACGCAGGTATGACCACCCACCCTTTCTCATGGCCACCTGAGATTCTGCATTGCTGGACCCAAGATTCAGAGAAGGGTAAGCACAGACAAACCCTCACTAGCTTTTTGAGGAGGAGGAGGAGGAGGAGAACCAGAGAGCAAGCGTTTCATTCCCCAAGACCAGCGCGCCTCTGTAGGGTGAATC